ATCACATGGTTTTTTTTTATCAGACTGAAAACCTAAAAACTGTAAAACTTTGATGCAGATATTTTTGCAGTCTATGCTTTTCAACTACTACAGAGAAAGAGAGCACAAAGATTACATGAGATAAAAAAGAAAGACATTTTAGAGATAGTTTGTAAGTTTTAAGGCTGAAAAATGGAACAGTTTTGAAAGATATCTTATAATCCTCTATCATATATGCTGCAATTTGTGTGTAAAGAGAGAGAGAAAACAGATTGAACCTTGAAATCTAAAATATGTTTTTAATTACTTTTATTATTTTATTACTGTATAGATGGGTTGTAATTTGATTGAAATGAGTGATTGAGCAGGCATTTAGCATCCATTAAAAATTAGTGTCTTTTTTGGAAACTGACAATGAAAATGGAATATAGGTTGCACCACAGCTAGAAAGCCTGTTTGAACAAGACACTATTTCTGAGCACTTTAACAGGCATTTATCATCCATTAAAAAAAAACAGAAGTGTCCTTTTTTTAATACTGACAATGGAAATAGCATACAGGTTTGCACCTTACTAATTTCTGAATTTTTGCTTTTTGCGGAGTGGGCTAGCGTGCAATCACCATTTCAATTAACCTCAAAACCTCAATTAACCCTGTTCAGTAGGGTTTAGAACAGGTCTTTGTGCAGGCCACATTAGTTCCTTCACACCAAACTTATCAAACCATGTCTTTAGATCACAGCTGAGCTGCGGGGGAAGGAAGGGGGGGGGGGGGGGGGAGGGGGGGGTGGGTGGAAGGAAGGGGTGGGGGAAGGGGGGGGGGAGGGGGGGGGGGGGGGGGGGGGGGGGGGGGGGAAGGAGGGGAGGGGGGGGGGGGGGGGGGGGGGGGGGGGGGGGGGGGGGGGGGGGGGGGGGGTGGGGGGGGGGGGGGGGGGGGAAAGGGGGGGGGGGGGGGGGGGTGGGAAGGGGGGGGGGGGGGGGGGGGGGGGGGGGGGGGGGGGGGGGGGGGGGGGGGGGGGGGGGGGAAGGGGGGGGGGGGGGGGGAAGGAAGGAAGGAAGGGGGGGGGGGGGGGGGGGGGGGGGGGGGGGGGGGGGGGGGGGGGGGGGGGGGGGGGGGGGGGGGGGGGGGGGGGGGGGGGGGGGGGGGATGGGGGGGGGGGGGGGGGGGGGGGGGGGGGGGGGGGGGGGGGGGGGGGGGGGGGGGGGGGGGGGGGGGGGGGGGGGGGGGGGGGGGGGGGGGGGGGGGGGGGGGGGGGGGGGGGTGGGGGGGGGGGGGGGGGGGGGGGGGGGGGGGGGGGGGGGGGGGGGGGGGGGGGGGGGGGGGGGGGGGGGGGGGGGGGGGGGGGGGGTGGGGGGGGGGGGGGGGGGGGGGGGGGGGGGGGGGGGGGGGGGGGGGGGGGGGGGGGGGGGGGGGGGGGGGGGGGGGGGGGGGGGGGGGGGGGGGGGGGGGGGGGGGGGGGGGGGGGGGGGGGGGGGGGGGGGGGGGGGGGGGGGGGGGGGGGGGGGGGGGGGGGGGGGGGGGGGGGGGGGGGGGGTGGGGGGGGGGGGGGGGGGGGGGGGGGGGGGGGGGGGGGGGGGGGGGGGGGGGGGGGGGGGGGGGGGGGGGGGGGGGGGGGGGGGGGGGGGGGGGGGGGGGGGGGGGGGGGGGGGGGGGGGGGGGGGGGGGGGGGGGGGGGGGGGGGGGGGGGGGGGGGGGGGGGGGGGGGGGGGGGGGGGGGGGGGGGGGGGGGGGGGGGGGGGGGGGGGGGGGGGGGGGGGGGGGGGGGGGGGGGGGGGGGGGGGGGGGGGGGGGGGGGGGGGGGGGGGGGGGGGGGGGGGGGGGGGGGGGGGGGGGGGGGGGGGGGGGGGGGGGGGGGGGGGGGGGGGGGGGGGGGGGGGGGGGGGGGGGGGGGGGGGGGGGGGGGGGGGGTGGAAGGGGGGGGGGTGGAAGGAAGGTTGGGTCAAACTCACTATGACTCCTTCAGAAGCATTAGAGCTGTGACTGTCGGCTGCTTTGTTCAGTTTCCCACCCACACCTTCTCTGAAACTGCACGGACTGAAGTGTGGGTGGGCACAGGGGGAGACAGAACAGATATAGCCTCTCTCCCCTCTTCTCCTATTAGTGCGGAGGATGGAGGGAGGGGGTGGGCAGTGAGAAGAACACAGTGGCGGTGGGGAGGGAGAGGGGACAGAAAGAAAACTATTCTGTGCAGGGTGTGGAGGCGGCGAGCAGCACTGAGGCAAGGGGTGTGTGTGGGAGGGGTGGCGGTGGTTGAGGTGACAAGCAGCAATTTCCTGCAGCTGGAAGCCACATCTCCTCCTCTCTCTCCGATGGCTTTCAGCTGCTTCATTCCCCTGCCCCTTCCACACACCCCTAGCGCCGGCGCTGCTCGCCACCGCCTCCTTATTTCCACTCACGGGCGAGTGGAAATTTCGAGGGATGCAGCCTGCAGGGATGCTTGGCAACTCTCCTCTGGGGGGGTTCAGACCCCCTTTACCCTACTTTATCTATGCCCCTGGATCCGGCTTTGTGCACAGGGGCACAGTCCTGCTGAAATAGAAAAGGGCCTTCCCCAAACCTTTGCCACAAAGTTGGAATTGCTCAAATGTCAAAAATGTCTTTGTATACAGTAGCATTAATAAAATGCCTCATTGGAAACAACTGAACTCAATGATTTGGGTGGGTTTCCACATACTTTTGACCATAGGTAATGTTCAACAATTTCATATAATTTAATGTGAAAGAGTAGCTAATAAAGTAGAGTCCCAAAGGGTAACCAAATATTAACTACTATTTTCATGTATGTTAGACTTAAAAGTCACTGCACAAACAAGTAGGGCCAAATTAAAATAGACTTCACCTATCACAAGTGCCTCCTAGTTGTTGCATCTATAATATGATTGTAGGGGTATCTCTAAGAGCTTCCACTCTGGGATGGTGCACCTGTGAGCATTGGTCGGCATCTTGGATAATTCAAGATGGCCAACAAAGCAAAGGCATGTATGTACGGCTAATATATGCACACATGCATGTACGTGATAATATGCCTTTTGAGGGATAGCTATATGGACATGTGTATGTTTATATAAATGTATATATTTGGGATAATTTTTAAGAAATTATAAGAAAAATAAAAAACTATTTGTTATACATTGCAGATGACTCCAACAACATATGGCTTGTCCATTTAATCAAGTTTATGTGATAATCCACCAACATGGCTTTGTAGTACTTCTTTGCAACCACTTTAGTGGGATTCTGACACCCACATGTGCCTCTCTATCTGAGCCTCTGGTATTGACTCTTCCTCTGTGTTTTTCTTTTTCTTGTGGACATATTCAGGTAAATGGAAAACAAAAATCATAGATACATATTAGGTGGAATACAATAATATGCGTTAATAAAATATATTTTTTTTTTCATATTTAGAGTGGTAATCATCTCTATCTCCTGATGAAGTGTATAAAATCCAGAAACATGTTGTGCTTTCTGAGAATCTGAAATTTGTATGGTATTTTGAGCTGCAGCTTTCAAGGCATTTGTGATTTTAGATTGTAATTTGTACATACATATTAAAAAAAAAAATGTTTTAATCAAATAAAATGTATATTTTAAGAGGAACGTTGTGTTGTGCCTTAAAAATCCCACCATGTCAAATATTTCTTTAAATTCTTATGTACGATAACCCTTCCCCACATCATGCAATGAAATAAAAACAAATTTAAGACAGTTCAATTTGCAAAAATCACCCTTTCATATTTCTTTTAAAATCCGAAATATGTCAATATGGCTGACTAATTAAGAAGAATGATATATCAGCTCTGACTGAGTATGTCTAGTGCTTGGGGAATTCATTATAGGTAGCAAGATCTACTATATATACACACACATCTGTTGTTCAGAATTCTACCATTCATCTAATATGGAAAAGAAACTGAACACACATTTTTTATTCACTAATTTTTTTTATTCAGTGAAGATGTGTCAGAAAAGCTAAGCTGATAGTTAATTAAATATTGTTTTTGTATTTCCCTTGAAAAGGAGGACAAATTCTCCAAAAAGTATAACATTTTTAATGCTTAAAGAAGACTAATTTTTTCCTCTATTTTGTATTCTTTTGAAAGTGATCAACTTATTTTAAGTAATATCCGTAGACTATTTTTATCAATGCATGTTATTGTGTTAGAAATCTATATAGTTTGTAATTATAAATGTACACAGGGCAGCCATATTTCCTATAAAGACTGCTTTCTGTTTAGTGGTATGGTACAGTAATTATGTTTTTCAGTACCTTTCACTCAGTGCAAGTATATCTATAGTATGTTGAAATCAATAATCTGAGGTCAGTGAATATGTTAAAGCCATTGCATATGTAGGAGCAGCACAGAGGCATCAGTAATTCAACTTTGGTAAGTAGGATCAAGAAGTCTATGGATTGGATTACAATACTTCATGCACCTTTTAAGATGCCTTCAAACAGATCTTCATACAAAATACTTTATAAAAGAATTATACAAATACTTGAGCTTCATTAACATAACATTATCTGAGAGAACTTTGCCTCTGGAATCCAGATAAACATTTCTATTTCATTGAAATGATTGTAAACCAGACACATGTTACTTATTTTATCATCAAAGGAATATCAGAAGCACCCGAGCTGCAGGTTCCGATCTTCCTTCTTGTTCTGATTATGTATATCGTCACTCTTGGAGGTAATATGATAATATTTATCTTGGTTAGCTTGGATCATCACCTCCACACTCCCATGTATTTCTTCCTCTCCAACCTGTCCATAGTGGACATGTCTTCTTCTACAGTCACCCTACATAGGATCCTAGTCAATTTTATCACACAAGATAATACTGTGGGGAGCTTTGCATTTATGATGCAGTGTTACTTTTTTGGATCATTATCAGGTCATGAACTGTTCATCACTTGACTGCTATGGGTTTTGATCGATATGTAGCTATTTGTAAGCCTTTGAACTATCATTTGGTAATGAATTTTAGAACCTGTGGTGTGTTAGCTTTGTTCTGTTGGTTGCTAGGTTTTATACAAGTTGTTCCCTATTCTGTCCTAATGGCTAATATCTCTTGTTACTCAACCAATGAAATCAATCACTTCTGCTGTGACCTTGTTCCCATAATAGGAATAGCTTGCAGTGATGTCTCTATTTTGAAAGCACTGACCTTTATACAAGGGATAATTCTTTTTATCATAACTCCATTTTGCCTTACATTCATTTCTTACGTTTTTATAATCACCACCATACTAAAGATACGTTCTAGTTCTGGCAGACGTAAAGCCTTCTACACATGTTCATCACACCTCATGGTCATCATACTGCTATACATGACTCTGATTTTACAGTATGCAATACCAAGTAACAGTTTGGGTCCAACTAAACTTTTCTCTTTGTTTAACGCTGCTATTGTCCCCATGCTGAATCCTATTCTATATAGCTTAAAAAATAAAGATGTTAAATCAGCTTTTAGACGAAGGGTGGGATAGTTAAGCGCTGAGACTTACAGGATAGCTCTGCTATGAATTCAGATAATCAGTAAACACATAATATCAGTTTACAAGGCTTTGGTACATAACCCACATATTATCAACATGCTAAATGTTCTGTAACAGGCATAATACTCTAATACTCTAATCTGAATTAGAATAAAGCCATATTATCATTTAGATGTTGATAACAAAATGTAATGTAGCAACAACCATATAGAACTTACAAAGTGATATCATGGGAACAAACCTCTATTTGTGAAATGGACAGCAGTAGGTAAGTGTACGGTGCTAAAGCATACCTTAACCGAAGAACAAGTACACAATATACTACAGCTTAGCAGTACTTAAATGAGGTAGCTGTATTTGTTTTCTTTTTGTCTGACTTTTTTTCCTTTATTTTCACTGGGTGATCCAGGTAGTAAATACATTTTCTGTCTTAATGTGGCAATGGTGACTCGCTATATCATATCTGTTGAGGAACAGTATTTTCATCACAGGATAGGAAGTGTGGTAAGACAAAATAACTATTCCCACTCCTAAACATAGGATGAAGTGTCCTGCAGTCATCAGAAAATACTGATAAGAATGCTGCACAGGTAGTGCTTGGAAAAGGAAATTTAAGGCCCAGGGTGAATATTCCAAACTGCATCCCCTCCTTTTGTGATGTGCACACTGAATCATTTTACCCACGAATGATGTGCATCATACCCATGAAAATGCATGGGTCAGAAGTGTGTAATATACAGAGTGCAGGGGTCAAGGCTGTGTAACATACAGAATGCCAAGGTCAGGTGTATGCATCACACAGAGTCCTGGGGTCAGGAGAGTGCATCATATTGAGCTCAGAAGTTAGGACTGTGTGTAACATACAGAGTGCAGGGGTCAAAAGTATGTTACATACAAAGTTCAGGGGTCAGGAGTGTAATGTACAGACTGCTGGTATCAGAAGTGTGTAACATACAGAGTGCAGGGTCAGGAGTGTGTAAAAAGTAGTGCAGGAGTCAGAAGTGTGTAATGTACAGAGTGCTGGGGTCAGGAGCATGTAAAGTACAGAGTGCAGGGATTAGGAGTGTGGAATATACAGATTGCAGGGGTTGGGAGTAAAAGTAACGTACAGAGTACAGGGGTCAGGAGTTAAAGGAAATATACAGCCTAGCAAACAAAGTATGGTAGTCAGGAGTATGTAATGTATATAGTGCAGGGGTTAGGAGTATGTAACAGACAGTGTGCAGGGGTTAGGAGTGTGTAATGTACATAGTACTGGGTTCAGGAGTGTGTAACATGCAGAGTGCAGAGGTAAGGAGTGAATAATAAAACAGACCACAAGGGGTCATGAGTAAAAGTAATATAAAGTTCAGCAAACAGAGTGTAGAGGTCAGGAGTATGTAACATACATAGTGAAGGAGCTCAGGAGTTTATACACCCTAGTGTAAATCACCCCTATTATTCATTCCACCCCTTTATTCATAGCACAGTGGTATGCCCTATGGGGCATTTTGACAAAACACACATGCCCACATACATACATGTATACTGTACATACAGTACAAACACTCACATTCATACATACAATAACACAGGGCTTAAAATTTGAAGTCCTGAGCTACTAGCCAGGCCTTAGAGTTACTCGCCAACAACAAACACAAACAGAGACACCTGTACACACACACACAGACATGTACATACACACACAGAAACATGTACACACACGCACATAGACATGTACACACACACACATACAGACACAGATATACACACACAGGCACGTACAGACACGCATACACACAGAAATACACATGCACAGACACATGTACAGTACATACACACAGACACATGTATATACATACACAGACACATGTGCGTACATACACACAAACACACACACACATGTACATGCACACACACACAGACACATGTACACACACATACTGTACATGTACATACACACACACACATACAGGCACATGTATAAACACACAGACACGTACAGACATGCATACACACAGAAATACACATGCACAGATACATGTACATACACACAGACACATGTACATACATACACAGACACATGTACACACAGAAATGTATGTACATACACACATGTACATGCACACACAGATACATGTACACACACACATACATGTACATACACGCATACACATGTACAGATACATACATGTACATACACACAGACACATGTACAATTGTACATTCATATGCATACACAGACACACACGTACACACACACACACACCCCCCATAAAATGTTGCAGTACTTTCGTTGTTCACTCACAGATCCGGGTACTGCACTCTAGGGAGAGGCAGAGAGCACAGCACACACTCCTTGCTTTTCTTTCACTGCGCTCAGCTATTGAGCAGTCTGACGGCTCCCAGTGCCAATGACAGATCCGGCCTGAGCTCCGAGCCTGCTCAGCAAGACGGCCCTGGGGGACACACTCGCCCCCAACAATATTTCCACTCACGTTGGCGAGCAGGCGAGTGGAAAATTGTAAGCCCTGCAATAACATACATACACTGGCACCCACATAAAAAAACACCCACACACACACATTCTCATGCATACACACACAGATTTGCAGCACAGCATTGAAAAAGTTTAAAAGTGAAGCAGGTTGAGACTTGGTAGGAGGAGCAGATACAGCCTTCCCTCCATCCTCTAAGTCTGGGATCGGCAACCCATTGATCTCAATGTGTTGACTGCAGGCAGGTGACAGGTATATCGGATTCTCATCCCTGCCTTGACCCTTGAATGCTCCTCCCAAAGAGCAGCAGAGTAGCACAAAGATTGTACTATGCTGATCCCCACTGGCCCACCTCCCCAGTCCATCCAAGACTTGTGTATAACATCATGTGGTATGGACAACAGAGGATGGCTGGTGGAAATAACTGCACCAGAACAGGTAGATCTCCACAGAAGCTTCCATGCACTGCATCAGGAAACTACTTCTGTGTCTTTCTGAGCCCCCTGTGGTGTACCCTCCTGATCCCCCAGCACCATGCCTTCCTGACCCCACTGTACTGTGCCGCCCGGACTACGCTTTCTTGGATCCCTAGTACCGTGCCCTCCTGTTCCTCCTTGTACCGTGTCCTCCTGACCGTACCCGGTTTCATGCCTTCCTGACCACTCTGTACTGGGCCCCCTGAGACCCCTGTACTGTGCCCTCCTGATTCCTTTATCCTCTGCCCAGCTGTCCCCCTCACTTCTGTACTAATAATCCCTGTCCTGCTCAGCCCTGTCCACCGCCCTACATACTACTGACCTCTGTTCACTCAACTCATCAGATTTCTGGTAGGACCAAAAAGTATTTTTTTGCACTTAACAAATATTACAAAACACTTTCAGAGGAGCATTTAACAAACCAAAAGTGAGCAAATAAGAGACATTCATTTTCATGGTTTGGATATACTTTAATTACATGAACCTCTGTGCTGTCTTTTACCAGGTGCAATGTTCACAAAATGGTGCCAAGAAGTGCTGTAGCACTGGCAGCTTAATGCTTCCAGTCCACATGCTCTCTGTTCTTTCCCTGCTAATATACAAATAGAATTTCTTAGTGCCCCATAGACTTCTATTGTAAGGACTAATTCCATTCAGCAAATACCAGGACAGGCAAGTTTTCAACTATTTGTATTTTTAATCCTTGTATTTTGTCTTTGGACTTTTAGATTTGAATTTATGCTTACATTAAAATAGATTTAATGGCCAAACATGTTTTAGATTTGGATAGAAGGTGGCAGTTTTAGAACCCTTTTCTGGTTTTTAATGTTATCTGGGTCACCTGCTGGGAAGAAGTATCCTCTCTATTTGTAATAAAATCCAAACTTTATTTAGTTGTCATAGTTCTGGTGATATCTCTCACCTTGAATAGATTTTCTTTTACTCCTGGCCTTGTCTCTGGGACAGCAAATTGAAATCTTCCTGATGGGACACAGACAGGAAAAAATTAAAGAGGGCAGGGGTCATAACAACTCTCTACTTTATCAATAACAAAGAAAAAAGAGTTTTGAATTTACATGCACTTTATGGCTTTATACACAATATATATATATATATATATATATATATATATATATATAAGTTATATTTCAAATATACGATAGATAGATAGATAGATAGATAGATAGATAGATAGATAGATACGAGGGGCATTCAAGTCAATCTGGGACTTTTGAATTTATATAATAAAAGGAGTAGAAGCTGCATTTTTATTATTCAACATACTCCCCTGCTACATTTATCCCATAATTTAACTAATGCCTGGAAAGCTTCAGAATACAAAGATTTGTTAGTACGCCTGAAACATACTAGGCCAGCCTGCTTCACTTTGTGTCGATTATCCAGGATCAGGCATTGCACGCGCTGAATGTTCACAGGAATGACTTCTGTTGGCTGGGAACCACCACAGCCAGGATCATCAGTGAGAGATGGATGACCCTCTTTGAAACATTTACACCATTCAAATGTCTTACTGCTGCTGTGCGTCTCATCACCAAACTGTGCATGAATGCAATGGAATGCTTAAGCTAATACACCTAGACTGATGACATCTAGTGGCCGACTTGCTGATGACATCTGCCTGGTATCACAAGTCCAGAACACCAGGAGCAGGTCTTAATTGCTCCACGTGCAATTAATGCGCTATCTGGTTAGTGCAATGTTTGTACATTCACAACAACACAAGAGTCACGCTTATCCTTGATCGTGGACTTTTGGAACACCTGCACATAATCACTTTGTTTTATTACTATAAGGACAGAGTTATTTAACATATGATATTTAACATATGATATTGTGCAATATTTATTTATTTGTTTCTTCACCTGATTTTACTCACATTAGTGCTGCAT